GTCCTGCCTACAGCTTATAAAGCCACAAAGTTACCAAACTTAGGCATCCAAACAAATTGTGTCCCTTCCAGCAGGCCACGTCAGAGGCTGCACGTTTAATCAGCAGGGACCTTTTACAGAGGAACACTGTGGTGTGACCTTCTGAGCCACAGTGAAAACCCCGAGGTGACAGGCAGGCAGGCACGTGTGCCCCCCGGGAACACCAGCTGTGGCTGCAGGGCCCTCGTCACCCCTCTTTCCACCCCCCACTGCACAGCCCTGTCCACAGAGCTCACCAAGAACATCACTCCAGCCCTGAAGCCCCAGGGGGCCAGAGTGGTGTCATCTCTGTGCCTGTCATCTCTGGACCCAGAGCAGTGGAGGAACCCAATCAGGCTGTCTTGAGTCTGTGCCTGGCACCTCCTGCCATGTACCCTCCTTCCGCTCCTCCTTCCCCTCCACACCTCCCTCACCTCACTCCTCTCTCCTTTGCCCATCAGCTTCTTCCCCTGGAGGAAGAACCTCAGCTTCTCCCTTTCTTAAAACAATCCCGCATCCCACTCCTACTTCTGAGCCTGCTTCCTTCCATACCCGTCCCACCTGCTCTTTCCATGGCCACCTGTGATCCCCATTGACCTGCCTCAGGCCAGGCCACTCCTGGTCTCTTGGCCCCACCTGACCCCACAGCTCCGCCCTCACTCCTGGGTTTTTCTGCTGCAGCTCCTCCTAGCCCTCACCTCCTGGACACTCTCCTACCCTGGGGCCCTATCCTCTCTCCACTGCCCCCTGGAAATGCCGGATTCACAGACCCTGTCTCCAGGCCTAACCTCTGCATTCCTGGTTGTCCCACAGCCCTCACACTTAACAGTCCCAAGCTCACAGAGCAGGGCCTGCCCCGTTGCATGACTATAAGTCCGGCACAGCTGGGAGCCTGGCCCAGAGCAGGGACCCAGATTTTCACTGAATGAATGAATGTAGGTGAACAGCTGCCTTCTCACTGATCTCAGAGGCGCTGGCTCCCTACCTGCCCTGCAAAGCCACCCAGGTGGCCTTTCTAGAACTGAAAAGTGACCACCACTTATACCTCTGCCATGGTTCCTCAGCACCATGGGATAAAGTTGACAATCTCGAGCTGGCAGAAGAGGCTGTTTTCATCTGTGCTTTGGCAGCAGGGTGGGCACTTGTGCCTTACATACACTTCTCACTGCACTCATCCCCAGTCTGACAGCACCCATTCGAGATAGAATAAAGCTAGGCCTGTGAACCAAACTGACTCCATTTTCCCTGCAAAGGACACTTTGTTACTTTCCTATTCCTCAGTCATGAGACCTGATTACCCCATGGCCCTCCCTGATAAACTGAGATAAGAGGGGAACAGATATTCACTGAGTTGCAAATCCCCTCCCCAAGACTTGTTTATTGTAATTGTAAAAATTAAATTACAGATTAACCTTAAGACTGCTTTAGGAATTCCTGCATGCACACAAAGCTTCAAGGTAACCGATACAATGACCCTCCTGGGGTCAGGATGATGACCACCACCATCACGTTGGACCTACTGAGTGGGTGCAAAGACTGAAGCCTTAACTGAGCATGCACCCTTGATGCAACCAGGAAGAACAGAATGGACCACCTCCAGTGACGCTGCCCTGCACCCCTTAACTTCTTTCCCTATGAAAGACTCTGAACAGCTCCCCTGGGGGGGGGGGGGGGGC